AGAGAGAGAGAGAGAGAGCGTAGTTTAAATCAAGACGTATAAATTATGTACTTTATGAAGCAGCACATAGACTTTCGAGATTTGTGTTAAGCATATAAAATAATGATATTGTCGTAAATTTCAAGTAAATTCAACGAGTAATGAAAAAATAAATATACAATTAATACAATGCAAGTAAGTACTTGTAAGTACTCAAAGGACCATTATCATTTTTATCGCCTGTAGGTAAGATTAATTAAGCGTCAGCAATAATTAGGCTTTTTGAGTAAGAACACTGTCACTAATATTTATGGTCAAGCTCATCGAGACATCAACAACGGTGTCAATTTAATTCGAGTACAATTTTAACAAGTCTTGTAAAAAGTAATTAAGAAACACTGATATTGTCACCAAATCGGTCATTCTCAATCGTATTAATATTTTTATAACGTATAAATCACCTTTGCACGAAATTATCGAATTACTATTGTTTTTCAAAATCCACTAACAATTTTTCATCTGAAAGTATCATTACCAAGTACAATCGTGTTTAGTTCAGAACATTATCAAAGCTATAATATTTAGGGTTTTCAAATGTAAGAGTTAAACAATTTTCTTAGACACGTAAAAACGCTATAAATATAACCATTATTCAAGGTTATAGAACGCAAATATTTCATACAAATTATAAGTATTTTAATTATTGCGAAATGATACACACATATGCATATAAAAAAGTCTTAATGCGCGTGAGCAGATTTCGTATGTTAGAAAGAAATGTAATCGGGTTACGAATAATAATTCGGTCACAGGAGGATAATAGTCTAATTCGTTTAATCTGATCTGATTTCTTTCATCCAATAAAGTCCAGCGCACAGTATTGCGTCTTATACAGCCGTAATCTCTTATATAAATATTGGGGGAAAAAATGATATATATAAAAGTATTGATATTGTAAAAATGACGAAATTTATTTTCAAGGGTTTGCGTGTTTGTTTACTCAATGATATCATAACCAAACCGTTATTATAAGTAGATCGTATACGTTCTACTTGATAAATATAATAATCCTTCTGGTGGAAGTAATAGGGATTCTACAACTTCCAAGTTCTCTTCCACGAGATGAGCGTTTACTGTAAGTCACAAATGTCAACACATGTACCATATCTTTTTCTCGTCACTGGAATCTAGTGTATCAAATCTAGTGAATCATAGAGAGTTTCTCAAACATTTTCCTTATTTATACGAATATATATGAATGATATATCACTCATTATTGTATGTAAATTAATTCTAGTCAAAACGTACATGTATCGTAAGCCACTTTTATTATCTCCTCAGTTATCGTCTATAAGTGATATAAGCACTCGTACGTTTATATTTCATGTCCTAAACGTTGATGGATAGGTGTCCGTAATCGACATTTCAAATCCACAAATAGAAAACACTGGATCCAGAGTGCAGTACCCCTACTTATCGAGACGGCAATCATGTCTTTATAGTTGCTCATATTTTGTGTAGTAATAGTAATGCGTTTGATCTGTTTTTCTTGCTGCATGTTCTGTAACGTAAACATTTGGTGGAATACTATTAAGCTATCCATACGTTACACGGTAAATAATCACAGGGTTTGGCGAAGAACCGATTTAAATGTACCATCTGCAAACAGTGGATCGCTTTGAGATAAAGGTCAAATATTTTCCCACTTGTTCAATGAACACAATAATTTTATTCACTTATATCATTTCATTCTTAATCGAAGTTTAAAAATATTAAATGTATTAGTGTATTATTTTCATGTGTCCGATACAGGAACGGATATGGTATATCTCGAGGAGTGCGAGGCGAGTAATTGAAGGTCAGATTTTGATTGTCATTTATTTTATGTACTTATCGAATTTCACATTTATAATTAATTATATATTAATCTTTTTATTATTTTCTCCAATAATTTTCCTTTAAAAATCAATTTCTCCGTTGGTCTTGTGGAGCTGTAAAATCTTCGTACACGGTATAAATGAAACATACATGCACATCAATTACGCGTTTCAATGGAAGTGTAATGGCTCTCTGCTGTTTTTTGTTTCTTATCGATGTACGATCACATTAATTTATTGAATCTATACAGTGTACACCGGGAATAGCTAACTACAACATTCGAATAACACATCCGGTGGTAAGCGAGTTATCGTTCTTGATGGCAATAATATAATATTTAGGGAACAACAATCATAGTGGTTTTCTTTTTTAGATTTACAGATCCATTGTTGCACATCGATAACATACTTATTTATTTTTAAACGATTTTGTGGTATACAATATTATACCGATGTAATGTGTTATAAACACATGTCTGCGTTTTTAGACGAAATACATAATACAGTTAGTCCGTATACTTATTTTTCGACGGACAAAACACGAGCCATTGCGGTCTGAAATTATTTTTTAATTTTAAAATCCGGTTAAAAACGTTTTCAGGAGGACATAATGTTATGCGCTGAATTTTTATACGAGTATATTGAATAAAATCGATTGAACGAAATCCCTGCAAGTGCAATATAGTTTTTTGAATTTTAATTTACGGTTTGCGATCATGCGACGAAATCGCTTGTACAGTGTAAAATACATAGTCAACCTTCTGCGAAATACATTATGTTTTTGTAGTTTGAAAGTTAACGAATCTCACATATTACATTATACGAATGCAAATAATATTTCATATTACGATAATTTATCACTCACGGGTCACACATACGCATGTTGTATGATGTAATATTGAACCTACTGTAGTCGACTGTGAACTAGACGTAGGAAGGACCGGAGTGGAAAACAAATGCAATTTAAACGTTTTATCTTCACTAACCTTTAGATATGTACACTTATAACATATTGGTCGTATATACATACCGTACGGTCGCGCGTATAACCGTTTTCTCACGACGACAGTGTTTAAATTGTGGACGATATTTACTACTCCATCCTTTGCGTTCTTGCACTGCACGCATTACAATGTACATCGCACGCACGCATATTATATATACTCTTTCGCGTCTATACACGCGTTTCAGGTATAGAGCAGTAGTAATCCTTATCGATTTTGTGCCACCGTCCCCACGTTGCCATCACCGAAGCCACCGACGCCAATGCTGCCGCCGCTGTAATTTCATACTTATCCCGACCGAAAGCGGGGGCGGATTGGTAAAAAAAAAGAATTCCTTCGACTCCCGGAGCCCCGATCTACAACAATACAGTTGTAAGCGCCACATATGCGGCAGGTTATCCTCAGATTGTTTTTTTACCTTCTTCTACTCTTTCCCACTGTACACCGTGAAAAATCTCGTATAAATTTTCCCGACGGCTTATACAAGTATGTACACGCGTATAAATCTACTTCCAACGTATCGGTATAAATAATTTGGTGCACGGTGTTGACAACTAAGGCTACAGCGAAAACTCTACGCGGCTATTGCAGACTCACCGCATGTGACTGCATTCACGAGTTGGGAGTCATAATATTACTCGTAAAATGTCCATAACA